GAGAAGCCCGGGACGTGGGGGCCTCGGAGAGAGGCTGGGCGGGTGGGGAGACGGGGGTCCTCAGGCCGAGGGGCCTGAGAAGATGGGGGGTGAAGCCCTCCAGGGGTCGGGGCAGGTGTCAGATCGAGGGCCCTAGGGTTTGGAATGCAGGAGCCGCTTGGAAATCGGAGGCTTTCGAGAGATAGGACGTCTCATGTAAAGGAAGAAGCAGCTGAGAGTGGGAACACGAGTTACTTTTCATGTTACACCTTTGTTAGTGTTTGTTTACTTGTTGGGTAATAAGCAAGCGCATATGAAGTTGGGGAGTTCCTCCGAGCATGGCTGGGAGAAGGGAGGTCGGGGAGCCTCAGGGAAACCTGTTTGTGTTTGCCTTGTGCTGCTCGTCCAGGTTTGCAAATGAAGAGCCCAGAAAAGAAGCGAAGGAAGTCAAATACTCAGGTGCGTGGTGGTGGGTGGGCGAGAGGGTTCCCGGCGGCCCTGCCCTGCCCTCTGTCACTCCAACGTCTGTGTCGTGGTCGGGTCCGGGGAGAAGAAAAAGTTCTCTCTCTCGCTCTGTGTCTGGTCCTTTCCTTCAGCTTCATAACACATTGGTCAGGGGCGTTGGATGAGATGATTTGCCCGAAGACCCTATCAGCCAGGATCAGAATCTTCTCCCATTTTTCCTGTCCTGGTGCCCTCACGGTCACACCGACCACTTACCCTCTCTGAGCGCCAGGGCTTGTGCTGGAGCGCTCCAGCAGTGTGGGGAGGTGGGAAGTTGTACAGATGAGGCATGTGAGGCTTAAGAAAGTTAAATACTTGCTCCAGGGTCTTGAGGTTATTCAGTGTCAGGGCTGGGATTCCAGCCTCGTTCTGCCTGTTTTCAAAATACAGTTAGCACAGTGTGCTGCGCCTTCTGCGTCTCTGTTGTATTCTAAGGTCCATCTTGATTTTTAGAGCTGGGCTGGCTGGAGCCAGCCTCCAAAATGTGGAGTGTGTTTCTGGTGTTCTGGCTTAGCTCTGCGCTTCCCTCCATGACCCCCTTTCCCTCCTCTGTTCTACCAGGGCCCTGCATACTCACATCTGACGGAGTTTGCGCCACCCCCGACTCCTATGGTGGATCACCTGGTTGCATCCAACCCCTTTGAGGATGACTTCGGAGCCCCTAAGGTGGGGGGCGCAGCCCCTCCATTCCTTGGCAGTCCTGTCCCCTTTGGAGGCTTCCGTGTGCAAGGGGGCATGGCAGGCCAAGTACCCCCAGGCTATGGCGCCGGAGGTGGAGGGGGTCCCCAGCCTCTTCGTCGACAGCACCCCCCTTTCCCTCCCAACCCTATGGGCCCTGCTTTCAACATGCCCCCCCAGGGCCCTGGCTACCCACCCCCAGGCAACATGAACTTTTCCAGCCAACCCTTCAACCAGCCTCTGGGTCAAAACTTTAGCCCTCCTGGTGGGCAGATGATGCCAGGCCCAGTGGGGGGGTTTGGCCCCATGATCTCGCCCACCATGGGACAGCCTTCCCGAGGGGAGCTGGGCCCTCCTCTCCCCCAGCGCTTTGCCCAGCCAGGGGCGCCGTTCGGCCCCTCTCCTCTTCAGAGACCTGGTCAGGGGCTCCCCAGCCTGCCCCCCAACACAAGTCCCTTCCCTGGTCCGGACCCTGGCTTTCCTGGCCCTGGTGTGGAGGATGGGGGGAAGCCCCTGAATCCACCTGCGCCCACTGCTTTTCCCCAGGAGCCCCACACGGGCTCCCCAGCTGCTGCCGTTAATGGGAGTCAGCCCAGCTTCCCCCCGAACAGCAGTGGGCGGGGTGGGGGCACTCCAGATGCCAACAGCCTGGCACCCCCTGGCAAGGCAGGTGGGGGCTCAGGGCCCCAGCCTCCTCCGGGCCTGGTGTATCCGTGTGGTGCGTGTCGGAGTGAGGTGAATGATGACCAGGATGCCATTCTGTGTGAGGCCTCCTGCCAGAAGTGGTTCCACCGAGAGTGCACGGGCATGACCGAGAGCGCCTATGGACTGCTGACCACCGAGGCCTCTGCCGTCTGGGCCTGTGATCTCTGCCTCAAGACCAAGGAGATCCAGTCTGTTTACATCCGCGAGGGCATGGGACAGCTGGTGGCTGCCAACGATGGGTGATGCTGGTGCGGTGACCCAGGGAAGCGCATACGTTCCTCCCTGCTCTCCCAGGGTGGCTGTTTCCGTGTCTGGCTCTTGGTCCTTGTTTCCACTGGCTTTCCATCCCCCGGAGCAGAAGTGCGGTGTCTCCTGAGGGCAGAAGAGGAACTGAGGTTGGACCGGCAGGAGCCCGGATCGCTCACTGTTCTGGGAACTTTCACGCTGAGGTCCACAGAGATCCAGGAAACCAAAGCCTGCTGAGCAGAGCCATTGTTGGGTGGATGTGTCTGGAGGCCGCGGGGTACGGCTGCAAGAGAAAAGAGGCTGGAGGAAGATCTGGAAGGCAGGGGTACCCCTCTGTAGATGATGGGTGCCCCCAGCACCTGTGCCTAACACGCCTATCTAGCCCCGCAGCTGCAGCCTTAGTTTTTGGAGTCACGTGTTAACGGTTTCTCGCGAGAGGAGTTTGGGTCTCTTCCCATCCCTGCAGTAGCCCTTCCCTGGGCTCTGGGAGAGAGCTGTGGGGAATAAAAAGGATTTTCCTCTTTTCCTGCTCTCTCCTGCCTCCTCTAAAACCTGCTTAACTCTTCCCCCTTCAAAGAACCAAATAGCTTGAAGAAACAGGAGAGTTCTTGGCCACGGCAGTTTCTTGGTGATTTGGGTCTTCAAGACAGTAGGTAAGAGATGCTGTCGGGACAGATCTCCCTGGTACCAAAGTTACTGGTCCTTTCTCAGCTTCTCTTGTGCTTTTCTCCTCATGACCATATTTTTTTTGCCAAAAATTGGGATATGTGGTCTGACCAGAATATTTGAAGTTTGGACAGTCCTGGAAGCCTGGACTCGGTGTTGTACCGCCTTCCCCCGCCCTGCCCATCCGTTGCACATTATTCGCGTTGGTCTTCAACTTCTGGTGCCCTTATTCCCCCGCCTCCCTGGCTTGATTGAAGGAAAGCTTGAAAGGGCACCGAGCCCTTATACCTCATTTCTTCTGATAAAAGGATCCCCGTCACAGCCTGTGGTTGGGGGGAGGCAGCAGGACCCTCATTGCCGAGGTCCTGAAGTGCCGCTCAGAGCCTGGGTGTTGCTTCTCTTTCCCCTGCTATTGGTTGCATCTTCTCGGGCCTGGCGTGCTAGCAGTTGTCATTGCTCTCGGCCGTAGTTTTGGGCTTTACTTGTTTTTATTTTTAAAGCACGGCCTGCCAGAGGTGGACCTGGGGCCTGCACACATGACCCAGGGGGTGGGGAAGGCGGCCCGAGGAGTTGGTGGCCGCCTGGACCCCAGCATGTGCAGAGGAGACAGGTTTTCTGCAGAACTCACTGCCTGCCCAGGTGGAGCCAGCGGCCTCTGTGCCGGCCTCTCAGTGTCCCCTGACTCTAAAGCCGCAGAGAGCAGCCCCCCCCCCCCCCCCCTCGGGCT